TATTCGTATCAAATTAACTATTTAAAATTCCTCATTTTTTGTGTAATTTTTTAATTTAATTTTTTTATTATAATTTAATTTAGATACAATAACGAATTAATTTATATTTGTTTTAATAATATAATTTTCTTATAAAGATAATAATTAATTATTTTGTTAGAACTCGATAATTATCCTAATTACATTTTAGATTTTTTATATTTTAAAATAAGATGTTTATCCTCTATTTGATTATATTTATCCGCAATTAGTTATACGAATTCAAAAATCGAGCTCTGATAAGTTGTACTTTTGCATAATTTACTTGTAATCTTGAATTTTAAGTAAACATTGGTTTTATGTGATTTTAAGAAAGTAGTAATATTTTTATTTTTGAATAAATATAAATTTAAAAATATCATAAATTTTTAAAAGTTCTTGTGTTTTGGTGTAATTTCTTTAATTAAATTTTGTTAGTTATCAATGATTATCTTAATTATATTTTAAATTTTTTATATTTAAAATGAGATGTTTATCCTGTATTTGATTGTGTTTATCTGCAGTTAGTTACATGAATTCAGATATGGGATGAAATCGTATAGAGATGAACGGGTTTAAGAGTTTTTAAGAGTTTAAGAGTTTTAAGAGTTTTTAAGAGTTTTATCCAAATGCTTTATAATATAGTATAGATATATATATATATATACATAAAATATACACATAACTATTTCATTATTTTAGCACACAATAAATATGTTGTGATAATAAAGAAATAAGAGATACGTAATATATTAAAAGAAACGGAACAAATAGCAATATATTTATCAAAAGGCCCGACCCGTTATGATCGGTCATTGTTTTCCGTTCAAGCATGTGGAGGATGGGATTGGGACTAGTCCGAGGACCGACCGGTTAACCGGTTTGGCCTAACATCCCTACACATCGCCTCTATAACAACTCATGACAAAGAGGCCTTTAAAAGCTTGAACGGTTACAGAGTGACCGTTCAAGCTTTTGGAGGCTGTTGGTTGATGATAAATAGTCTTTTATTATTTTTAAACGCGACTAAATTGCACCAACCATCACATCATATTTGGTCTACAAGGACAATTTAGTCGTGCACTTGATCGTTAGAACATCATCACTGTCGGAGTTGTAATATGATATTCAATACGACATTATTCGCATGAATCAAACCACACAATGGAGTAAAACAAGTCAATACTATACATGAATGGGACGCTCGTCATCTATTTTTACAAGTCGTTACGTTGTTGTACAAGGAATTCAGTAACTAACCCCTGTATATCCCGGAAGGGTCTGCATTCTGCACAATCCATGGATGTTCAAGCAGCTTGTGTAGCGGCAGCCGCTTTGTAGTATCCTTCACAAGCATCTGCATTCATTGTCAATCTATATATGTTAATAAACCAATCATTGTGTGGAGGTTTGGATTCATCTTTTCTTTTTGGTATAGTGCGGCCTCATTTCTCATTAGTTGGGGAGTTTTTCTTCTGAACGTTTTTAAACCAAACCAAACCAAACCCGATAAATCACACACAGAGTGGAATGTACGCAAGACAGAAATTAAAAGAAACGAGTTACATGAGTGTATGCAAACAAGCAACGGGTGTATTAAAACATAAAATGCAATCAAGACAAATGTGAGGGAAATGCGTTAAACAAACAGGGAAACACAGAAACACAAAGCACAGTATTGATAACTACTAGCACGTGAAATAAAACTAAGGCTAGTGACGTCCTTTGCAGCTGATATCAGCAATCTTATCGGGGAGCAGACCCACTTTAAAAACTTGTTGGGTTGTGAAAGGTGCTACCGTATCATTTTGTTTCGTGCAACCATATATATTTTGAAACTACAATGATAACGCAAGCTTCTTTTGGTAGAGTTGGTTTGGAAGACCTTTCTCCCACCCCAGACCCGGGTTAGAATCCTGTTTGTGTCATTTTCCTTGGTTTTTAGCGATTTATTATGTTTCTAAAAAAAATTGCAATAAAGGATTGAACACAAGACCTCGCATATGAAAAGAAAATAACTAACCAAAAGACGATTATTTTGTTAAAAACATCCAATCTTTGTTTCTTATAGTCAAATGGTGCCACCACATGAAACTTTTCTAGGTCCGTCTCTGATACGGGACAGGGAGAGTTAGATATAATATAGAGAGAGAGATAGAGAGAGAGAGAGAGAGAGAGAGGAAACCTGACTAATGAGGTCCTTTGCAGCTGCAGAAACTACAGGCTTCGGAGGGAACTTTAAATCTACTTGCAAGATCCTGCAGAATTGAGTCAATAATCCGTATCAGATATCGAAGCCTTCCTTAACCAACGGTAATTTTGTATGTAGCATCATCACCTTCTATATGTATCAGAGTGCTCTTTTGCTTCAAAGGGAGGGATACCATAGAGAAATTCATAGCACAAGATTCCAAGACTCCATATATCTACACTTGCATCATGCTCCACACTTTCCACTACAATATATATATATATATATATATATATATATATATATCCCAACATATATAAGCTTGAAACTCACAAAATAGACCATCATTATACCAATTCAAAAAGTTTCTTTTAAGTATCAAGAGTGGAAATCCATCTCAAGGACAATTGCTTCTCTAAAAGAAGCACCAAAAAAAGAATTAAAGCAACAGCTTGACAATAGTGGATATTGTCAAGTGGTCTTACCCATTTCAGGTGGGAGATAATCTAGGGTGCCACACATGGTTCGCCTGCGATTGAATGTGTGCACGGACCAGCCAAAATCTGCAATCTTCAATTCACCCTGAAAGAGAGAACCCATGTGTAATAAAACATGCACATGTTGTCTTTCTGATCAAATAAGTAACAAATGAGGTTCCAAAAGTTTTGCTATTACCTGTGAACCAACCAAGAGGTTCTCTGGTTTTATATCTCTATGAATAACATGCTTCCCGTGACAGTAAATGAGAGCCCGTGCTAATGATGCAACATACTGTTTGAGTGGATAAAAAAGTGATATAAATAAGATGATATCATTCATACACCTTTAGTGTTGATTGTTTTCTTTAGTGGACCGACGGTAAGACAGACTTACGGTAGCGGAACGTCGTTCAGTGAAGTATTTGCATTTCTGCAGCTCCTTGTAGAGTTCACCCTTTGCAGCATACTCCAGAATCAAGTAGACCCTTTTCTGAGAAATTTATCATCTATGTATTAGAAATTCAATTAAAATAGCCCCTTCCGTATGACGTGAAGGTATGAGTATGGTGTACCTGATCATAGAAGTAACCATAAAGTCTTAGGATATTAGGATGTCGAAGATGGCTTTGTATTTCAACTTCACGACGAAGCTGGTGCTCCACCTGAGATTGTTTAAGCTGGCTCTTGAACAGCACCTTCAGTGCCACAACATGATTGCTCTGTTTCAGAAAAACATGGATGTTATTTGGGCACATGGCTATGAGTTCGATCAAGTATAATAACCAATTAAGCAGAGTTACCTACTCCTTGGCAAGAAAAAGCGCTTCATTAACAACAATAATCTACTGGTTCTAGATTTGGAAACTTTGGAAGTATTGTTCAAGTGCCAAAACACGATAAGATTCATAAAAAAACTAAACTGAATCTGATAATACTAAAAAACAGTTGAAGACGAATACTGGCACAAGTAGAGAGACAAAAAGATGGTAAAAAGCCTATACTAACAAAAAGTAAGGATGATTGTTTAGCTTATAATTTCATAAAATACCATAGAATATGTTAATCATGGCAATTGGATTTAATTTACTCACCCTCCTTTCTCTTGCTATATAGACATGACCGAACTTTCCCCTTCCCAGGGGCTTCCCAATGTTAAAGTCACTAAGTGTCCACCTCTTCTTCTCTGTTGCATCCTCTGTAGAAGCCTAAAAAAAGCATAACAATGATCATAACTATTCAAGCATCTTCATTATTACTGACATCAATAAATCTTATGGTATGTTAACCATGCAGATGCCAAAGCAGTTGGAACCATCATCATATTAGAACTCTGTATTTTGAGTCAAATTTTATAGAAACCATTTGATTTAAAATTGTTCATCTGACATATATTACTCCTCAAAATCAACAAAGATAAACTTATAAAACCAGAAAGGCAGAAATGCTGCAATCAACTTCAGATGCCAGCTTGTGTTTCTCAAGATAATCTTTTATGAGGAAAGCTTTCCAAAAACTGGTAGAACCTAAGGCTTTACACCAGTTAACTCAAAAGCCATCTGACTTGTATCATTCTTAACATTGACTATAAACCTTCATTAAAGATGCACAAAGTGACTGAAAACCAAATTCAGAACCAGGACCAAAGAGGACCTGCTACGGACCGGTCCAGTCCTCCGGCTCCAAATCAGTTTCGATTTTTTTGACTTAGGACAGGTCAATGGGATAAGGACCAGAATGGTTGAGTCCAGGTCAAAACACCAGTCATATCCACAAACTACTTCCAGAACATTTTGTGAATTTTGGGCATCCAGATGTTGCTTCAGCAAAAGCATACAGCAGCTTTATTAGAAAAGTAAACAAGTTATTAGATGACTATATGATTATATATTATGCTTGGCCACATCCACTCGCAATTAAATTCAATTCATTCTGAGTTGGAACTCATGGATTTAATAGTACGGACAAACGATTCTAAACAAAAAGGGGTTTCATGATTTCATCTATAGCAATCCATCAACTGTTGAAGTTATCCTTCAATCCTTTGATGCATCAATAATCACAGAGTATTGAGTCTATCTGCTGCTGTATCTCGAACCTACTTGAACAGATACACACTTACAGCATCTACATAAGCGAAAATCTGACAATAAACAATTTGTCCTAAAATGTAAGATCCAAACAGTGATTAGCGAAAATTTGAACCCTAGCATAACATCAAAACGTGGAAACACTATAATCGAACTTCCAAAAAGGAAATGTATGGTACCTTTTGCTCAGGCTGAGACTCCATTGCGATTGCCATGAGAGAAAGATTCTAGAAAAAGAGAGAGAGAGAGAGAGAGAGAGAGAGAGAGAGGTAGACAACACAACGGGAAGGGAAATGAGGGGTGTTTTTGAATGAAGAGAGGGAGAGAGATTGTTTCCCAACGGTCGGATTATTAAAAAGTTCCACGTGGCTTCCAGAGTAGCTTCTTTTTAGAAGTAAAGTACGGTTTTGGTCCCTAATGTTTGTTAATTTTAACGGTTATTGTCCCTAAACTTTATTTAATCGGTTTTTGTCTCTCAGATTTATCATTTTTCAACTGATTTCCCTCCATCTAATGGTTAACTCCGTTTAAACGAGGGGTATTTTGGTCGTCTGACATTTTAAAACAATTTCAATTGTTTCTTCAAGTAATGGACCCAACCTCCTCCTCGTCTTCCGACAACCTCTCTGTTGGAAACTATCTTTCCCAACCACCATCACTGACAACCACCGTTAATCGCCAACATTCTAAGTTCATTCACGAACGTGTTGATACAGACTGTAAAACGAAAACAATAAAGATAAACCCTAAACATAAAGCAAACAAGATCATTTGATATATTTATATGTTTGTTGATTACTGTCGATGATATAGAGATATTACAAAACAAAACCAACGAGGCTGAAAACTAGGAACCTCTGGTGGACCAAAAAGATCAAAGCGAGCATCTGTTGGGACACCCTTGTTTTTGTTTACGCTTCAGTAGTCAAAGTCCAAGAATCGATGTTCTTATAAGTTGAAGCATTCTCCCTCACGCTTAGTATATCAAATTGAAGCAACCGTTTCAATTTGGCAATCGTTAACATTGTGAACCTTGTAGGATGTATTCGACATAAAAGATCTTTTTTGATGGAGAACAGTGATGGTCGTGTCAGTATAGTGAAATACATTTCGATTTTAATGTTTCATATTTTTGTATTAGTCGATGTTATAATACGGTTTTATGTGGTTTTGAGAAAGCGATAATGTTTTTATTTTTGAATAAAGTATAAATATGAAGATATTATAAAAAAAAAAAAAAAAAATTGATATCAGTAGCAAAGTAACTATTTAAAGTTTCTTGTTTTTTTTTTGTTTTTTTTAATTCATTTTTTTATTTTTGGTTTAATAATATAATTTTTTATAAATATAATAATTAAATATTTTGTTAAAACTCAATGGTTATCTTAATTATATTTTAGTTTTTTGTATATTTAAAATGAAATGTTTATCCTCTGTTTGATTATGTTTATCCGAAGTTAGTTACACGAATTCAAACATGAAGTTTTAATAAGTTATACTTACGCACAATTTATTTGTAATCTTAAATTTTAAGTAATATGCATCAATAAACAGTATTTCATGCATAAAAAATAGTTTTTAAGAGTTTTTGTCAAATGTTTTATAATATAGTATAGATAAATAACCGTAATAAGTTTAAACAAGAATATCACATTTTCACAAAAACATGAGAGCGTCAAATATTATAATTAATCATATGTGATATTATAGTTCATCATACGTGATACTAAATGAGAAGAGAAAGACATCTGGCAGGACCTGTGTCGTGGGCCAAGTTGTTTGTACATTGCCAAATCCTCTCACGTGTATTATTACACATATGAGTGTTCTTGTGTTTTCGTAAAATGACGATGTTCTCTATAGTTACATTTAGATTTTGATTTCTATATAAATAAAATTATGTTATTTTATTTGAATGTATATTATGAAAATCTTCAATGTTGTTAGATAAATTGCATAAAAAAATATAACTTACTTTGATCTGGTCTTGTTTTAAATACATCTACAATTACAAATATTTTGGTCTAGCTCTTATTTTAAATACATCTAAATGAAATATATGTATGTTTTTTTAATCAAACAAAAAGTTTCCTCTTATTAGCATCATAGGTGCTCATGGGTTGAGTTGATCGATTTGAATTTGAAAAATCTTAACCCAACCCAACCCAAAACAAAGTGCAACCAAACCCAACCCAACCCATACGGTTTGGTCGGCTTGATACTTTGGTACATTAGAATATTATTTTAACATTGAATATGTTATTTCTCTACTCATAATTTCTTTTTCATCGTCAACCATTTGATACAACTAATCCATATTTGTTATGTATATCACATTCAGTTAAATTTCTCAATTTACATATATATGTTAACAGTTACTAAATATATATATGAATGAGTTATATACAGATGTGAATAGATTGAAAATATATGAACATGAATAGAGTTGTATGGTACAACCATATATATAACTCATTCATATATATATATATATATATATATATATATATATATATATATATA